CATCACTGCTCAAATGTATTGAAAACTGGTTTCCATTCTTCTATAATCACCCGCTTATAGTTTTTATCCATGCAAGTAGTCCCAACTAAACCACCCATCCCGTTAGTCGGTCGTACAACTCACCTCCTCCCGAAATTTCAATTTTGCGGTTCCGATTAATCTTTGTCGTTCTGCTTGCCATCTACGTATGCTCCAGTCATTTTTACTGCCGTGTGCCTTTCTTACACTTCATACCATCTGGTAAAAATCCTTTTACCGACTACCCAATCGATACTCACTCTTTTAGAGTCACCTATCACTTGCCATCATGTATTCATGTAGATTCTCCATGCCCTCTCATCTTCCGGGTCAAACCTTTTATTAGTTCCGATAAACGGAACATTGTCTGAGTGCACCTATGCTATGTGTACCACCACTACGGGCAAAAACAGTGGACTGATATCACTTGAACCTTTTTACTTCTCTGCATTTGGTATCAATCACCGAGTCCTGACTTTCCAGGAATATCCAAGGCTACGAAAGTGCAATCGTAATTTGCACGCTTGTCAGATTTGCTCCAAACGAGGCTGCCTTGGTGGTATATGTGTTCATACAAAGTGACTTTCCCACTTTACAGGCATGTGACCATTCAACCGTTTTTACACTTCGGAGCGATATGGATCTCCACAAAATACTGTCCTGCCCAGAATGAGCCCTATTAGCCACCCTGCTTCATTAATTTTTATTGAAAATTAATTATTCTCTAAGTTTTCTTCCACTGCTCTTTATTTAACAACCCCATTGGATGATAGCTTGCGACATTAGAACCTCAACTATTTACCGGTATTTCGTAACCGCCCTCAGTCCAGGTTTGGCTTTGGTATTTCCAAGCAACATGCATCAAAGTAGATGGTACGAAAATTGCTACATCCCAGATTTTCCGCAACTGAGCGGCCTTTACTTCTGAGTTTTTTGGTCAAAGGAGTTACAATGAGGCTTCGCTAGGCCACACTAACCGCGTTGCTTTACCCTGGCTGGTCATTTTATCAAAACCCTCGGTTAACCCGATTTACCCATGTGACTCTGCCATAGCAATTCACCGCGGTGGTCTCCTATTCTGGTTACATCAGTTAGGTCTGGGCTCAAGGCCCTAAAAACATTCTTATTCCACATTTCCACATCATCCGTATTGTTGACGCCAAAAAATCCCCGGTCCGCTCAAAAAGTTTGTTAAACAGAAGAACACAGAGTGGGCGTGTTACATCTTAACCTTGTATCATACTAAATTTTTTACTGTTCCGTAAGAGCATCTTAAAAGCACCTTATGTTTCCTAACCTATCAAGGAGGCAACACAATTCAACTTCTAATGTGGACATGGAGTACTCCAAGCTGATCATGTGATATGCATGGCCTCAAAGAGAAGCTGAACGCACGCAACTGAACTTTACAGTTAATAATGTTCAGTAAAGCCGATTACATAATCAGCATCAGATATTCGTGCCCATACCAGCACACTGACCACCCTCTATGGGTTTCCGTTACTTTCCTTACTTATTCGCACACCGTCCACGATGGCGAGTCTTCGTTCGATGGCGCCCCTTTGAATTATTTACGGATTTGCATTTTTTGGTTCTATACCCTTTCCTCTGCACTCTGTACTCCATGCCAGTGGACTTTTTTCTCTTAAAGGCAAGCGGTTAATAAACAGTGTGCATGGGCAGAAATCCCCGCAGCCCAAAAACCATGGTGACGTATACCTAACATCTGTTCTAAAAATAATGGAAGAGGTTGTCAATGGACCCGTGTAGTACTCGTTGACCTCGAATGATATAAAATTTACCCTAAAACGGTTCTCTTGACCTTTGGTTCTTCCATGGGAAATCGCATCCTTCTTAGGTACACTTTACAAGTAAGGCCCCTAAGGACCAAACCATTGTACCCAAGCTACTTGCTATTTTTTCATCTTGATCTCATCTGCTCCATCTCCGATCTAGACCTGATTCTCTTCCCCATTGATATGAAATATATGAACAATGAACCCAAAAACGCTCCAAACAATGATGTACACCTAATCCAACTGATCACATTCAATACCTATGAAACTGTACACCCTCCATCAGGAAAACAGATGGTGTTTTTATCCTACTGGCAACTTTCAGATCCAGCGTCATACACGGAACTGACAGTACCAAAGACATTGCAACCAGGATTATACCCAGATGAGTTCCTTGCAGCTTTGTTTTTATTTCTAAAAAAACGTTATTATGATGAGAAACGTCCTCTAGTGTGCGCACCCTTCCCAGGCCAAACGAAGCTTGCCACCACCCGTTGTTGGCTTGTCTTCGTTCCGCTGAGTTTAGAGAACAAAGTGTCAGGCCCCAGTAAAATATGAGCTCACCAAATCCCCCCACAGACATACAAACTGTTCAGCTTTTGTACACTTCCACCTTAAACAGCTTAATGCTCTGTGGATTCTATGCCAGATGGGCGCATGCTGAAGAATATTCATTCAGAATTTACAAAAAGCACCCTCGATTACCCAATCTTGCAGTGATATGTGCGTGTGTAGACCAAGAACAAATCACAAGCCATGTATTATAGACTGGAGGTCGTTAACCATTTTTTATCAGGCTATCGTCACTTCTAAATAGACTTGATACCCACTTACGCCTTGTCTGAACAGGAGCCATCGATTTTATGACTTGAGCACATTTACTAGATTAAACTTTCTTCTGCTAGGCTGTCCTTATTCTGCTGTTCACCGTTCATTCATCTCTTTCTCCTAAAATACCCACACCGTATTTAATCAACATTATAGGTCAACACGCCATCCACGCTTTCTCCCACACCACGTAAATTTTTTTATTGCTCACACCTCCATTCTGCAATGTGAGTCCCTCAATTCTAATTAAAACCGATTCAACCTAAGTCATCAATGAGAATTAAGTAGGGCAACTGGTAATCCAGCTGTCTGGCCACGTCGCGAAAGATTAGAATAATGTGCCTCTCGAATACAACGTAAGAATTGTTTAGTTTTGCACAAAGTACCATACAAAGCACTTTATGGCCAATTTAAATATGGTTACAGAAGCCTAATTTGGGGCAAGATTAATACAAAAATTGATCGAACAACAGGTTTTACCTGTTTAGTTCTCAGACATTCCTTCTTAGATCACATAAGGATTACTCTTTCATCTCTGACCCTCAGTGAGGAACCTAATCACTCAGTTCAAGTATCGTGGTTCACGGATGACTGGTTCCACAGATCACAATTTATTGAATGTGAGGAGCAACATTTGACCAGCTTGTATTCTCACTGTTTCAATGGGTGAAATCTCCAGAGGATTTATACTAGCACACTTCTAGTTGTAACATCTAACAGACTGCTGGCGATCGTACGAAAATGACATCTGTGAGATGGGCCGCCTTATCTTTAGGGTACTCGATCAGCTGTAGGCCTCATATGACGTAGTTAGACCAAACAGTATATATGATTCCTAAACACTGGCAAAACTAATTTAGATGCACACTGCTGACGATTACCAATAAGGATGAAAGAGCCCTACAGTGTATTGGTTGTTGATCAGGTGGCTGTTGATCTGTTCGCCGAGCTTGGCAATTGGCTTGCAAACGTTTCGTCACCATACGAGGAGATATCATCAGTGCGCAGTTGGGTGGGTAATTCTTCCTTGCCTTCTTCCTTGCTATAAGCATACGCAGGCAAGGAAGAAGTACCCAAATGCGCACTGATGATGTCTCCTCGTATGATGACGAAACGTTTGCAAGCCGATTGCCAAGCTCGGCGAACAGATCAACAGCCACCTGATCAACAACCAATAAACTCACCCGAGCTACCAATATTTCAACAAATTACGAACCTAATGTAAGTAGTTCCGCCAAAAATTTCCTCGCGTCTTTAATTCGTCATTAGATGTTTATTGCGGAAATATTCTCACCGTTCGTACTCGGGCAAGGCTAGCGATACCAAATTCAGACATGTTGTCAAATATGTCTAGTCTCACATTGGAGCGCAACCGTTGGTTCCAGTTTTGGCACAACACGAATCTGCAAACCAATAGATTTATCCTAATCTAGTCACATCGCTGGTGGTTTGTTTCATTAGCCTACTTGTCTATGCGTGGAAAATAACGTGTCTTCATTTTGCTGAGCGGCGTTCGACTTTAGGGTTGTGACGATTAGCGAATATGTTAACAGCGGTTGGTCACTGAGTTAATATTTTTCAGTTTGGGGTGCATAGCGCTTTCTACGGAAGGACAAAACTGAGGACGGTTAATGAAGCTGTTCAACTTGGAGTAATGCAGGATAGAACCCTGTGTAAAGTCGAATGGTACCTGCATCATTCAACGAGGTCTTTGAATCGAATATGACACTGAGGTTTAAGTTTTTCCATGATCCATTATGGGCGACTCATTTTCCACGCCTTCATATTATAGTAAACAATATTGCACCACACTATGCATATTTTATCACATATGATAGATCCTGTCGAGCTTGTTGAACCCCTCCCTTAAATCACTATTTTTCTCTTGTCGATAGCAAGATCAAATACCACAGGGACGGTTTTACTGCCACATAAAAATTAAACTTGAAAACCAAACAGCAAATCGACAGAGGTCAGGACGCAGGTCTTTAAATGCATAATTATACTAAGACGGAAACCCGTCTAATATCAAGACGCAACCAGAAAAGTTGACAGGGCTATTTTTCTGGAGATACATAAAACTATTCCAACTGCTTCGGTTTGGTTCTCAGATATCGTCTCCATATTATCAAGAATATCACGGACCTTTATGCGAATCGTTAGGTACACTGAGATGAAAAACTTTTATAAATTATTGAGACACCAGCTAAGGTTTATGTATAATACTACAGAAGTGACATCTACGAAGCTGAAGTGGTTTAAACATACAGGTATAAACGATCTACATTTTAGTTATTTGTTTTCGTTATGAAGAAAGTCATCCCAAAAATCGCAAGGCCTAGACTTTCGGGTCTGACCAAACAAACAAGAACAAGAAAACCAGATAATCAATCGATATGATTCTTCCTCATAATTAATTTTTGTCACCACAAGCATGCACCAGCTTTTTCCATGCATGTTTCTGCGACTGAACTGTGCTGAATCCATGCATAGAAATGAAATGCTTGAGCTTTTCCGCATCGAAACCATTGATTTCGTTTGTTGGATAAACTTCAGGTAAATCAGTTGGACTGATACCAAAATTTAGTAAAACCAAGGCCATGGCTGTGTCATCCACGGGAATATACGGTATGAGATGTAGGCCAAAAGCGAGAAGTTTTGCAACGGGCATACTCATCAAGACTGAACCTCCTGCTGCAATACGAGGAACCAACTCGAAAGGATAAACATCGTGAGGAATGAACCATTTGTTACTAGGATTTCGAATGATAGGCTCGCTGTCGTGCGTATAACCACCGAAGAAAATAGGGTAATGAAGAACCGAAACTCCACGCAACGTCCGAACAACACCAACGGGGTTCACGAGAAAATCATCGTCAAAAAGCGCCACAAAATGTGTACCGGGACATCGTTTGGTAATGTAGTTCAGGGCAGCTGCGTGCTTGTGAGTGGTGTTTCTATATGTATCAAGAAATCCGAATTGAAGCAAGTCTCGATGTTTTGCATGCTCCTCTGAGAGCAACTCCTGACACTTGGAGGTCAATACGGGACACCACCTTTGTACTTTTCCCAATACAAAAAGTACGTGGACAGTCATATTGTTGCCAGCAAAACATCGTGGGCTTCCCCATGAGCGGCGTATCTGTTCCCGTAAGGCGCGCTTTTCATATGTCGTTTTTACAAGAATGATTAGCTCCGGTGAGGAGTTAGCTTCACACAGACTGACCTCGTCCAAGAGCAAGGTTGAATCGCTCTGCCACATCTGCATATTAGTATCAAATCGGGATTTGTTTTCTCGGTACACTTGGTAGGCTTGATGAAAATTCACATGCCCCGGGTAACGGATAATAATCGGAAGACTTGGGCAGACAAAATGCTTCCTGCTATAGAGCAAAATCAGAAGCAGAATTGCAACACAAAACATGGCGGATACGTACGATCGAGGTGAATCCATTGAAGCCTAAGAAACCGCAGATAATGCAATCAAGGTTAGTCTTGACGAATATAATAGAGACCTAATTGCTACGTCTTAGGCAATAAGGATAAGTGTTTGCTAAATTCCTCAAATATATGAGAGAAACAATTACCACAAGTTTATTTTCTGTTGTATTTGGTCACCAGATAAAATGAAGAGGCCATATCCAGTCTTGTGAGTCCAACCAAACTTCCCAATAGAATTTTCTTTCTTAGGAGAAGGTCTATTAGTGTGTTTGATTCTGCGCTTGTTACTTAAAGTCTGCCCAATATGTGTTGAACCATATGAAGACGATAACATGTGGCCAAATCACTTCTCATTCTCTGCTGTCATTAAGTAGATCACATGAACTGCTTTTGCGAAGAACGGTTGAGTGTTAGGCGACATGAGTGGTTGATTAGGATCTTCTTTGTAGCACAAGACGTGTGAATGTCAGACTTCTTGGATAAGGGGTACTACAGTAAGTTGAAAACCAAGACGTTTAGTTATAACCTGGAAAGAAACTGGCAGCACAAACGTCACCCACCATTTTTGCACTGACTGTAGCAGGAAGGTTTCAGGCGGATCCCATCGTCGAAGGCAAAAGAGTCAATCTTTTTCACACTGTTGCATATGACCCAGCTACGGCAATTGATTGCTCCGAAATTTTTTAGCAAACAGTGTAACCATTTTCTAATGACTTCACTACGAATTCCTGGAGGCGGTTCTGTACTGGAAACACTTTCAAGATACAGGTGGTCGAAAAGCTGGAGAAATCTTGCAGCATTTATCCACAGAAGCCATGTCTTGCAGTATTATAACAATACAGCCCTTACAGCTCCTGGTGCAGGCAAGTCTTGAAGACATAAGTCGACAAAGTTTTTTTGCTGGTTTGTAATATGAGTTTACGTATATGCCAACTAAATATGTTCACATATAAGAACATTGCTGCTTCAGTTTATTCACAGTGTCGTTAAGTTCACACACCTTCGGATTTCTCGATATGTTAGACCGTCAGCTAACCATTTACGCGGCTGTAAACCATGTACAAATTACGTTGACTACAGCTATGACCACCTCATTCACCTATGATAGATAGGATAACTGAGTGACATCCAGTAGTCGAATAACGAGTCAACTTTTAGGGTCATAGGTCACAACCCGTCCCGGGTATCCATGCAGGTGTACCATAATTAATGAGCCAGAAAACGGTTAAAAATGTTGGCTAAACAGAAAGGCATGAAGAGATTGAACGAAATACAGGTTGGCTTTTCAAGTCAGCTGGAAAATTAGAGGAAGCATTGACTTTTATATTCATGGGCTTCACGTATAAACCAGTCAGGAAGTGTTGAATCACACAAAAAGTTTGCATCTAATTCCACCAGGTTTGGTGGGTGCAAAAATTGTTTTGTCATATAAAGCCCTAGATTTTGTCCAAGCGCGGCCATTTATTTTCGTCGTGGCCCAGACAGAAAGAAAAATGAAATTTGCCTAGTAAAGATGAACACAGTGTAATTCACCTACTGACTAGAGATTTTGAATTCCCCCTCCAGCAATTTGGTGGCCCCATAACTCGGATGAGAAGATATTTTCAGTTAGATAGTATTACTATTATATTACAATATTATATCATAATATTATTATAATATTATAGTATTATTATATTATATTATATTACTCTTCTTGATGTATATTCTTGGTAGTGATAGTGGTAAGTGATAGTTGACTTCAGAAATGACGGTAGGTATGAACGGTGTACCAGCCGGCCAGTGTAATGATTTTGTGATACTCCTTCTCTGTTGACATTTTTTAATCTTCCTAGTGTCTTCTGCAACATCCAGAAACCCTTATTAATTACATTCTTGAAATTTGTTTTACGCCACGCCTATTTAATGCTGGGGATATCGAAAACTGCGACAGGCATCCTGAAATATCGTTGCAAAAATTTGATATTGAGCTTAGAATATTCCTGAGGTGTGCAGCACTTTTTGTCTCATGTTTAAGGTGGAAAATTTCCTAGGAAGGTAAAAGTTTTACTCCTATAGTTTTGGATGACCACCTTTTGGGACAGAGTGGATCATTACCAGAAATGTCTCGGATGCACGCCATTCAGGCACGGTGGTCGACTGTCGTATCTCCATAAGTCACAATCCCAGTTTGACTGTAGTAACGAATTTCGCAGGCTATATTGCTACAGAGCTGCTCAGAGCGTGTTTCCACGGGGAAAGTACCTACTGAGTCACCGTAAGAATTTAGTTGTAACAGTGATAGTACAGGATGTGACTCAATATGAGAAGAGTACTTGTTCGACAGTGTTTGTAGACACGTCAGATGGCTTATTAGGTTCAACTGATGAAATATTGCTTTGTTGGGTGAAAGGGTGAGATGATAAGTAGGCTAGCAATGATGATAATAAGAAGAAAGATCAATGATAAGTATGTTAGTAATTAATGTTGATGATGGTTATGATAAGTCTAAAAGAACAGCAGGCTATGTGAAAATCATGCAATTTTATGGCGGCCATCGGTGTACAGTTGTACCTTGCTATCCATTGTTATAGATCGATGAGATAGATAAATTCGAAAGAGAATGCCAACCAAAAAATTAGTCTTCTGGTACAAACCCTTTGGTTTAACAAGGTATTATGATCACTAATTTTGTAAAATTCTCCTGGATACTAACTGGAGACGTGCAAACAAACACTGGAAATGAAAGCACTAGTTACTCTCTAGAGTAATCGTTGATCTCTGGGTACGTTTATTAAGTTTATGGCTCATGGATTTCGTTGTGCGGGCAGTTAACCACAATCAAATTGTTTTCAAATCACTTCACCCGTAATGTGACGATTTGGATGTTACCATACTAATTGTGAGAATGAGTTGCTATAATGAGTTTTATTCATACGAATTTTAACGCACTCTCCTGACAGAAGAGGATAACTTTACATCCGTAGTTAACACAAAAAAGTCAGATAACGGTGAAACATATTGTGCGCCTTGAACAGTATATCTTGGATACTCAGGCGGAAGTAAGACGATTTGTTTTTTTTCACCAGTGTATCAGATTTTCCAACCACCACATTATTCTTCCTTATTGAAAAACGAATTAGAAAAGAGAATCTACGCATCCCAATTGGGGTAGACCCTCAGTAGAATAAAATATTTTTTGATCTGGTACTTTAATTACAGTATAAATAACCATTCGGGTAAAATATCTTAGGTTACCCTCGATGAATGTGGCCCAGAACAACTAGCTCTCACTAGAAGGTCGCAAGATCAGCCCTTACGGTGAGCCGGTGTGTTGCCTAAGATTAAGTCGGCTGCACCAGATAGTATCTTGTTGGAAGACTGAATAACAGCTGTTTTCAAGCGTTACTTCTCTTAGCCCTTATATTCTATCTGTTGACTCAATAAGTAATACTGTGACAATCAGAATGCTAACTTTGGCGGCAATTTCGCCAAAACACTGACGTAACCCTTATTAACCATTTGTCTTACTCATGAGCTACAATCAAGGTAGTACAGAACAATAACAAAAGTTAAAAAGGCAGTGTTTTTGACAAATTGTGTGGTTTGCCACATAATACGTTGTTGAACTTCAATACATCTGTGCTTGTGGTAATTTTCAAATGTAAGGCTGACTTCTGTGGTTATGTTCACTTGGACAAAGACTGTTTGAATTCACATTTTGGTTAAGTATCCACATTACAGGGGTGATTCATCATTCGCCATGTAGACCTTTGTAATCGAGCATCTCCGAATCCCTGCATGGAGATGAACCGCTTCTTCTGAGATTCGCTGAAGTTAGGGAATGTGTTATGTTCGTATACTTCGGGTAAATCGGTTGGACTAATGGATAAATTGAGCAGTACCAGGGCTATTGCAATGTCATCGACGGGAAAATATGGCATAAGGTGTAATCCAAAAGCTAGAAGTTTAGCAACTGGCATGCTCATTAAAACCGAGGCACCAACCGCGGAACGAGGAGATATTTCGAAAGGATACAAATGCTGAGGAATGAAACGTTCTTGTGTAGAGTCACGAACAATGGGTTCGCTGTTGTGTACGTGGCCACCGAAGAAAATGGGAAATTGAAGTGGCGTGACTGCACGTAGTGTTTGAACAACACCCCTAGGGTTAACCAGAACGTCGTCATTAAAGAGGGCTACAAAGCGTGTAGCTGGACAAACCAAGCTGATGTAACTGAGAGCTGTCGCAATTTTTCGGGTGCTGTTCATATAGGAATCAATGAAACTGAATTGTAGCAAATCTCCGTGTACAAGCTGTTCTTCCACGATGAGTTGATGGGAGTGCGATGCATTTTCCGTAGGTACCAGTCCAAGGACGAAGAGCACGTGAGCACTTATTTTATGTGCAACATAGCATTCTGCATTTCCCCAACTTTTGCGTATCTGATTGCGCCTATATTGGTTAGCTTGGGTTGTTTTGACGAGTATAATGAGTTCGGGCGCATGTGCAAAATTACACAGAGAAACGTCTGTCGTAATCAGCTTAATGCTACTTGACCATTGTTGTAGGTTCACATCAGGTGTGTATGACCTCTGCTGGTATGACTCGTATGCTTTGTAAAAGTCCACGTTTCCTGGGTAGCGGATGAAAAGTGGAAGTTTTGGACAACGATATAGCCTTGTTGAAGAAAGTAGAATAAGGAGCAGGCCCGCGGAACATAGCATCCATAGGGAGTTGACACGATTTAATTTTAATCCAACCTATAGATGCAAAAACAGTATAACAGCTGAAATTCGCAGTAATATATTCATCGGACGTGCTCTATTTATGTTACTACAAGAGGACGGAATATAGCTTCTGTACGAGATCAAACTCCTAAGACACCTTCCACTATCTGCCTCAGGCACACTGTCCCGGATAGTTTCACGTTTAGACAGTGAAAGTAGTCAGTTGCAGAATTAAATGTATTGTTTGCCCCTCACTCTATCAGAATCTCATTTTACTAATAGACTAGGAAAACTTATGATACTTCATTTAGGTTAGCAAGACGCGTAAAACTCCAAAATCGGTAGTAAAATCAGCTCTTTGTGAAGCTATTCTTGTACAACACAGGCTTAATTAAGACGCATTCATCTTTCTTTTGAATCTGTGCTCTAATCTGAAGACATGTGAATCTCAGTACTTTTTCGACAGTAGTAAAAATTTTCTGAAGCAGAATTAAGTCAGCTTTGTATGAAGAAAAGCAAAATGAAAGGAAGATACGTTTCCACAATGCGATATTTTAGGGTGCATATTGAACACAACTGGCAAGCATCATTGTAAACTTTTAATTATTTTCAAAACCCTATACAATATTGAGCTCCAAATCAATTTTAACCTGGTTCAGATTGTGGATCACCAAAAGCTAACTACTGATGGTTTTGTTCTGGAAGAAGCGTGAAAATTATACTCATCTCGATTTTTGTTGTTGAATACGCCGAATCTGACTGCACTGGTATCCCAGCTATGTACATGCAAGTAGGCATTTCTTTAAACAAAATATGAAAAAGCTTTACGTGAGGATTTTTGTTTCATTAATTTACTTTCTTCGATTTATTCTTTCATTTCATTTCCTTTCATCAAATGCATCGAGAAGACAATCACTAGTTTTCTCATATGACATTTATCCAGATTAACCAAAGAATTCAGATCAAATGATTGGAGAAACGAGACTCTGCTGATGAAAGCTAGCGACAGCAGAAATTTCTCCGGTTATACTTTTAAAACCTGAGCCTACTTTACGCATACCTGTCGACATGACCACTAAAAAAGGGGGACATTTCTAACATATAGCAACTAATCAGTGATTCTGTTTAACGCTCTGTGTCGTGACCATTGTGACTGACTCCGATTTTTGTGCGACGTTGCGGATTGCTACTCTTGTTGGGAAGTTTGTCGCTTCCGGTTTATCGTTTGCCTGAGGAAGAGAATGCTGGTAGCTCACATAGCGCAGATATCTTTTAGTTTGTTTTCTGAGTCAGGTTTGGTGCAAACGTTTTACTACTGATCAAGATGATATAATCAGTGTCCATACCAACTGCAACTAAGTTTTCACAGTGGACATGAACGGTTATGTAATGGCTATGAATGGGCGTTTGATTGCAGTGATCTTTTGTAACCGAGCTCTATTTTATTTTAGGTCTACAATATAACAGTGCTCGGGATATCTCAGACGGCTAGGTTAGTACAGTAGCAACTGTAAGTGCGTCGAACTGTTCGCAGCTCATAGGTGGTTTTCTCTGGTTGATTTGTTCGTCGAGCTTGAGAATTGGTTTGCACATGCCTTGTCACTAAGCCAGGAAACATTGTCGAAGTGTGGGTGGGATTGTTCGAGTTGCACTTACATAGTTCCTAAATTAACTAACATTCCTAGCATGACAGGTTATTTCACGGGGTGGCTGTCAGATACTATTTTTTCGACTAGAATCGGTTTTTATACGGTTGATTCTTTTGTATGAGTGCCATCATATACAATAATGTTGTTCCGCTATCCCGATCGACCATTCACTCTTGTGTATTGAGTATTACTTCGTCTTGTTAGTTGAATGACTAAACTGACATGCTTGTGCGAACATGTATCTCCACCGGGGTTGCCAATGATGACAGATGATCAAAGGCACCTACACTTTACTGCTACCGTGTTTGTAAAAAAATAGCTACTGCCAAAATAAAATTCACAGATACAAAGTAAAAGCGGAAGTACTTCCAGGAATAGAACTGCCAACATAAACTTGCTTCACAACTTCGAATCTATCCTAAGATTCATGGTGTGGGCACTAATGATGACTCTCACAGACAATGGAATAAATCAACTGTTTTTTGCTTTCCATTAAAGATGATACTTGTTGGCAGAAACAAGTTCCAAATTGCTTTCTTCAAACATATAGTCAAGTATAACGTAGAACTAGATCAATTAGGACAGCGGAACCAAATGTACAAATGGGTTTTATTTTTATCTCATTAATTTTCCCGCGATCCCGTGTGAGTGAATCTGTTGGGCGTCAATCAATGTAACTTTCTGTTGGCCACCCCAATTAAAATAGGTTAAGATGGAATAAATAAATTGCTTCTGTTTACTGAAAAAAGGCCCTATGATGGCTACATTTCATACATGTTAGTAGCAGAACCGGGATCACATTTATGAGGTTGACCTGTACAGCCGAAAATTTACAATGTCGGAAGAAAGGCTAGCTAAGTAAAAGATGCAGTCCACCATAGGTACATTGTGTATAGGGAATTTTGTGCGCATAACTTTGACTTTTTAGCAGTGCTATACTGATAACCGAAAGTTGGAGCTTCCGAAAGCGTATGAATATTTGGAATACCTCACTGATTTGAACTGTGTGGTCTATGGCCAAGAGCTGATAAAGATGGGGGTATCCACTTGTAATATGTTACTGAACAAATTAATACAGTCATCATCATTGTCAGCTGTAATAACCGCGTACTCGTCGTACAGTGGTTGCAGCTGCCGCAGTTTTGTTCACCGATGATTTGGGGGAGGGGTGGGATGTTGTGGTCTGTTCGGCCGTTGTTTTTGAAAACCCAAACTTTCGTTCACCGATGATTTGGGTGAGGGGGTGGGATGTTGTGGTTCTGTTCGGCCGTTGTTTTTGAAAACACAAATTAGTTCCGTTAGTGTGCAATCACGCCTTCAATTTTTCTGGAGGTAAAGCGATCAGGCAAGCTCAACTTTCGAGGCCAAACGAGAACAGGTCGCGTGGATGCAGTCATATTTATTTGAGCGAGTGGATGGGTTCCAGGAACTTTGTGCCAGGAAGTAAGTCACAGTATAATCTTTATACGCATCTCACCGGTGATAACGTATTATTTGGATAGCACCCTATGAAGCGTGTACTACCTGTAAATGTCATCCTAATGATGATGACGTGATGAAACCGGTGGAAACACACAGGGCGTCTTTATGCAGAGATTATTCAGTGATCTTTGAATAAATTATCTCACCTTATAAGTATAACTCACCTGTTGGTGAATTTCGGCAACCGTCAGGAGAATTCAAACTACATTCTTTGGGTTAGCAGCTGAGCCGACCGGTAACTCTGTGCGAATAAATTATCTCACCTTATAAGTATAACGCACCTGTTGGTGAATTTCGGCAACCCTCAGCAGAATTCAAGCTACATTCTTTGGGTTAGTAGCTGAGCCGACCGGTAACTCTGTGTCGTCAAGAGGGTTTCTCATGTTAAATTCTTGCTTCTCCAGATATTCTTACCGGTATATATGTTCATTCTCAAAATCCAGGCTATTGATTTGTTAATTTTCAGGTTCTCCTCGAAAATGGATGCCTATTCAGATAAACCCTACTAACTATCCATTGGTAGTGGAATGGTTATCTGCGTAAAAGGTTAAAGTTCAGCACAACAAAAAGCGCATCCTCAGCGGATACTGACTAGCAAGATTAATCCATCTTATCCTGCATGCCTTTCCTATTAAGCGTTAAAGTTACATGCCACCAAGTCAATAGGTTCTCATGCATGGGGAAATTCAGTCACAGTAATGTGGACTAAGATATTTTTTCAGAAAAAGTATTCTCAACCTCTTTCTCTTCAAAGGCCTTTTGAAGATGATTCCGGTGAAGCAACAGGGTGATTAAAGGTTCATCAACACGAACCCTGCCACTGATATCATTCGATGAATAGCCGGGTAGGCAAGTGTGCAGTGCAAGAATAGTTTAAGACGATCAACTCTCAGATGATGCCTATCGCTCACATTAGAAAGTCAGATAGATCAGACCAGGATGTTTGTCGTCTAACGTGATGTTATCTAGTAGAATGCCAGAGGGTGTCCAAATCCTATTGAGCGGTACCATTGGGTTCCTGATTCTGAATTTAGGTAAATGTTCTTTTAGGCTAGCCCGATTTGATTAACTCAAATGTTCTAGATATCCTGTATATGTAGTTGTGTCGATCCTCCATAAGGAATGTGAAGAACACACTGCTTCTTAAAAACCTAAGTTTATTCAAGCAGCGAAAGGTCAACATGGCTGAGAAAGCTGACGTGCAATTCGGAAGGCAGACTGATGTGATGGTACCTTAATAACAACGAAGTGTGTTTCAGACAGGGATAGGTTACACCGTTTTGAGCACGGAACAATGTTGACGAGAACTGACGTAGCAGTATAACGGTAAACCTAGTGATAATTGCTTAAGTGATGTCACATTGCATAGTCTCTTGTAAACAGTTGTGTAAATTAAAGAAATTTTCAACATAAAAACGTTGTACGAGGTATGCTTTCCTCTCAGTCATATTCTAAGCAATTCTAAACCCACCACTTTGAAGTGATAGACGATTTAATAGTCTTTAAGTTGGATCGCAATTGGAAACAACTGAACTGCCGATATGGACCTTTGGTGACACTGTTCCCGCCATTTTCCAATGCTAAGGCAAATAACACAATGAGTAGTGTTACTAATGCTTTAGCTTGCATCTCATGATTCACATGTGTTCTGCATTACTGTTTATTTTATACTGAGGTACATCGTATATTTACATTTGTGTGGCCATATAGGTGGTAGGTTAAAATCTTTTGTCACTTTATTAGAGCATACTATAGATCCCTCAAATGCGGGTGAACAATTCCGCAGCACAATACAAAGCTTACAACCATAAATTTACTGACCCGCTGTACACCTTAGAAGGACATGCCACACGTTTGAAGGTGGAGTTTCGTCACCCGCATATTAAACTACGTGAGATCAAAATGTCTGTGATACATAGAGTTAATTTATAGTGGCCCATAGGTGCTCACGAACTTCCCGCTTGTTCGACTAATTTGAACAGATGTTAAATCACACATGTCAAACAAGTCATTCGGTCACACACAAAGTAGAAGAGTGGAGCGTCGGTGATAACTAAGCTATTGACGTATGCAATAGTTGATGAGCCTCAAGAACTTAGCGATGTCTAACCTGGATGCTTTTGGAATACGACTTAAACCAACAAAAAGACCCTTTTGGTGGATTTTAAAAGCTACAACAAAGAAGTGTTCAATATATCCCTACAGAAATGTACTACCAGGCTACTTCACGTGTAAAAATTGAAATGCGTGCATGACAAATTCAAAATATCATTCAGATGTGCCGAGTTTGAAGTTGGTAAGCATAAACCATCGGGATTTGCCCCACCTACCTGCCATCTTGAGACACAAAAGCCTTCTCAGTTTCCAAATGAGGTTGGAGAGAACTATCTTTGGTGACAGAAAGCCATGATGCTAACATATTATAAATGAAATATCAATTGGACGGTTTCCGCCTACTAGCCTGTAAGGTCAAAATATCAAACAACTAAACTCGTTCGTTTTAATGAGAAATTCTTGATCAACCAATCAGTTCACAACAGCTTGTTTGACTTGACTGTAAATAAAAAAGGGGACGCTTTTACTACATAAGTATCAGGTAATCGTACCAGTATTCAACTATGTATTTGAATCCTGAGCTTCAAAACTGGTCTGGATTTGGCTTCACTCCGCCCTAGATATTTATAAGATATTCTTAAGGATTCCAAATGAAGGTAAAAATATGCACACAGTGTTTCAGCATCTCAGCAAGTAAGGATAAGAACTTGGTACTCCTCTAACAACTGAAAACATATGCAGAGCAGGAATACGGAATTTTGCAGTGAGCGCTGTGTGGCGCAGTTTAGCCCAGTTATTGTTGACAATAACAGGGAGCGGCGTTTTGGCGTCATAGCCCCCTGTCACAAACAGCTGACGTGAATTTGTTATTTGTAAATTCATACAATCCTCATTCCACTTTCCGGTGATCTGAATGAGTAGGGAAATTTGTAGGTTATTTACAATGTGTGTGATGAAACAACTGATATCCTTATATGTTATTCCTTTTTGTCGCATTACAAAGAGTAAAAAATCAGATTTCAGGTGGTCTTTTTTTTGTGATGACCGATAATGTTGCAAATCAAACAGGCTTAAACTGTTGCACCAACTTATAAAGAGAAATGAGGGGTGTTTTCACCAAAGAAAAAATGGTATTTATTGATACCATAAGCCAAAAATTCTAGGGAAACTGTAATGTATTGCCCACTGTTGAAACTAACTATCATTTTGCGTACACAAAAATTTGCCACAAGTACTTTTGGTTCGTCCTTAAAAACAAAGGCCTGCGATTCACATAGGTATACACTAATTTTGGATGTTCGAACTAACCAACATTGAAATGCAAATAAACTTTGATTTTAGGAAATGATGTTTAATAGCTGATTGCCATCAAAATTGTCATGCGCATACCAATCTATACGATAAGTTATATTTGAAGAAAGAGTGATCCAAGTACTGTTTTTTTTTGGATAAACCAGTGACAGCGCAATCGGACACTGATTATTCGAAAGTTTTCGGTAGCTAATCACTGCATGTGCACTCGTCTTATGGATCCAGATGTGCGCCTGTTCGAAACGGAATCCTTCGTTTTCATTGAAAAAATGTTATTTTCAAGATCATTGGGAGAAATTCAAATAAAACTTGCCAAAAGGTACAGAAGTCACATAGGAACTAACTATTTATAATCCAAACGAGCGTGACACCTGACTTGTTAATAACATTAGTTATTGTGCACTAACGCCATTCAAATAATTCTTGAAATACCATCTACGAAACATCGCCTGATAATCAATATATTCTTGGAGCCATTGCTTTACATAGAACCAATTCGGAAAATTTTATTTTACTGGCCAGGCGTAGACTGTGTATGTATACTCATTTGTTGAATTAACTTGCCCATTCCACCAGAAAAAGGTGGACGCTCATTTTGTGAAATTAAAATTCCAAAGTGTTGAAAAAATTACCGGTGAAATTTGAATTATTCCATAAAGTTTGTAGCCCTACTCATAATATAACTGATTAATGTCCGCGGAACATCTTTCCACGTGATTCAAAACTGGTGTGCGACAACTGGACGGAGATGACTTTACTAGCTCGATGGTTAAAGTAGATTCACGCAAAATGTCAGACGCTGAAATCACCCTGCTCTGCTTTCTTACCCCCTTAATTTTCGAAACTCTAACAATGAAAATCAATAAATTTAACGCCTTCTCGGAAAATTCATTTTCTATAAGGAGCAAATGTAAGCTATCCCAGAACGTAATAATCAGCGGCATACTGCTAGAAGTACTGATAAGTCGGCTGGTAGTCGGCATTTTAGAATGGATGTGATCTGCCCGTAAGTGACCATGAAGCCATCGATCCGGCACCAGGCCACCTGTTGGAAAAATCATAGCCGGATTGAGAAATCTGTGTAATCTCAAAGCTGTAGTGATATCGATTAAAAGCAATGTTTTTATTCAATATCTATACCTACTTGCGGGCACTTTATTTTGATCTGCGTACAATCAGGGAAGAATGGCAATTTTCAGAGTTTAGCATGGCCTGGCTGGTGTCGTTTTGCATTGGAAAGGGATGAAATGTCCAAAACAGCAAAATAAAAAATTATCATATGATAATCATAATAAATATCAAATAAACAATAAATGGTTAAATAAGATGCAACCATTGTTTTGTTGTACAGCGAAAGACCGACCGGAATATCAATGAGCCTTGTAATGCTATTCCTGATTCTTACCTTTAGTTGACGGACTTGGGATAAAAAGATGGTTTTCCTTATGATTTATCACCGTCTTCATGATTGTTAACTTAAGCATTGTGGTCCATTGAGATTTTTATGGACCGTATGCAGCCTCAATATACGATCTTCTCTGCAGATAGAGTCCCCATTAACATCCTAGTTTTCAAACGCACCGCTAGACTGTACACAGAAGCTGACCAGATTTCGAACCATGCTGGGCCGAAAGTCACTTGGACTGCAATAGTTTCTGACCTATAAAATAATCGATCGGTCAGTAGGTGTCGGCCGGTAATATGTCCATTAATGAGCGGAGTTCTATCAGCTTATTCGTAAAAGATATGTGGCCTATGTCAGTACTTCTTTGTTAGTCTTTTGGAGAATGAGCTGTTGTTTCGGTCTCAGCACTTACGTTTGATAGTCTTGTTGAGGCCTTCATACACGGGTGAAGTAGGGCCTGAATGATTACTTCATTTTGTTCTAAATTTATAGGCTGCATTTGTAGCTTGATATGTTTTGGATTATATATAATGTAGTTTAACCACAATTGATTTAAAAGCAAGGTAGGATTTAATAATCAGCGTGAAAGCGTCAGGAGGACAATTAATCGGTTCGAAGCAACTCGATCTAACATTAGTTCAGTGTATTTCAGCACTCATATTCACTTCTGCACGTTACAAATAAACCTGCAGAGAACAGTATGTGAACCGCAGCTCTGAAGTTTGTTACCAAAGCTCGGGTATACCACAAGCACTGACAGGCTCAAAGAATGCTTTTCTCGGACTGATTGAGAGTAGTCGCCGAGTCCCATATGCGATTACTATTAAGCTTCAGGCTTGGAATCGGACAAACTGCTTGGATAGTGAACGTTTTTGCTTTCAACCTGATTTATCAGGTAAAGGTAGACTGAAGCTTTTAATTCACCATGAGTTTGTCAACCACCTTTGGCTGAATCGTTGTTGATATGATCTCAAAGACAGATGGCTTGTCAACAGGAATTTTGATCTCTAGATTAGCTTGATTGATAGACCACGTATAGATTCATATTTGTCTGTCTTCAGGAGAAGGCGGATTCAATAAACCGATAAAAAATACGAGTAAAAAATAAAAACACTGCTGAACTACTGAATCAATGATAAAGGGCTCATAATTGAGTTTCTTCTGTTACCATCTGTACGTATATAAGATGAAATACTGTTGCATCCAAAGGATTGTTTTTTTAGGTAATATTCGGGGATGAAGAAGACTGTAGCGTAATATGTGGGAGACAAATACCCTCATGATGAGATGAAACACTTCCCTACAGCTTGGTTTCTACTTACCTTCCACCGCATACCGTGCGCAGTTTGTCCAAACTTATGAGGTGATAGGAATATGGAAACGCTGTCAAATTGAGTTTCAAGGATATCGTGTCAGAGAAGGGATAAATCCAGCCTTGTCACCGGTCAAGACAGCCAACACTGAGGTCCCGTATGTTTGTCAGCAAAACAGATGCGCGTCACGTCGTTTTTGAATGGCAGATCGATGCGGCCCAAGTGGTTGGGCACGGCCGACTGAATGGAACAGAAGACCCCTAAAACAGGAATTTTCAAAAAAACTGTTCTCCATGTTGAAGTGAAAAGCAATACAAAGCTAAATAATTATTGTTATTATTACTATTATTAGAGAAGAATTGTGGTAACTGTTAGCGTTAGGTGGTCGCTGTCTGGTTTGCTGATGTAGGCAATTTGATCGCAAGCGTTTCATCGTTGATCAAGGTGCGTCAAGACTAAAGTAAAATTGAAACTGTTCTCTCAATGGACAGTATCGTGGGAAAATATGACAAGATCTATCTGACAGGCAAATGGGAAAAACATCCAGAATAGCAATGCTCAGATGTGACAGGAGGCACCTGATTCCATCGTAATTGCAACAACCTGAGACCGCTTCTGATAAAAATCCATGTGGTTGTGGATGATAGGATAATAAATTACCGTGGAAGATTTTAACAGGGGCACCTGCAACTATGATACGTCCATATTTTACCAAAATCGCAAATTAGTTGGAATGCAGTTGCCGCTGGCGTCTGTTGCTAGGAATTTCCAGAGAACATGCCGGGTTTCGTTAGTACACCTCAGAGAATATGGCTGCACTGGTGGCTCAAATTTCGCTCTATGACTACGCCGAAGATTTCGAAACTCTCGTCAGGGAGAACGATGCGACAATAGTCGAGTGTGTGTGGTTAGATAATTTCCAACGCGCAGGTCATCAGTAAAGTGATACTGTGAAAGATATGATTCCTTGGTCATTGGGAGGAAACGAAATGACTCAAATGCACACTAAACAGAACTTTGCAGGCAAGATTGTAGATGGGGGAGACTTGAAGAAAGACTATCATTGTTGTACTTGAAGGAGTCCAGATGTTCTATGGATCCACACTAGAGTGGTACAGCAAAGGTCGTGGGGAGCGTTTAAACTTTTTACTTTGCAATATTCTCAAAGAATGTCCGGTTACCATGTATGATAATATTTTGACTCGCTAATAACTGGTGTAACGAGGTGATAATAATGGGTTTCTATTCAGTCTCTTAAACCGTACTTCATTTGCTTCTTTGTATACAGGCGATAACACATAATTCGTAATCCATAAGCTCAACGTGGGCCCTGTGCACTTTGTCATTCGCTTGACTCTTCTGCTCATCGTTTGGAAGCTCACCGGCATCTATAATTTAAGTAGAATGTAAATATATCGGATGAACTAACAGTGGCAATTTGAAACCTTATTGACGGTACCGTAATTCATTCCCTTCTATCGGTTATAACCGTGAATGTATTCAACAAAGAGTTTCTGCCCCACTCGCCGTTAGATTGGAAATTGTTGTAAGGTGGATCAAGAGGGTTGATTTCTTTTCCTTGTCTTTCAAAAAACACGGCTCAATCTCGTGATGCTAAAGAACTTGATGAATTAGTCACACTCTTCTGTTACAGACTTTATCCAAATCCAATGCCTTTGACGGTTAATGGATATAAGAACTATAGGTAACCTCTACCTCCAGCGTGACTTCGCACAGCATTCAATGGCACAAAACGTCTGATCTAAAACGGCCTGATACATGTAAGAATCAGCAGCACTTGAACTTATCATATGACCAGACTACTTTGGCTAGCGCAGAGTCTAGAGCAACGTCGATCTTGTCAACTTTGACTTACGTGTTCAAAGTTTACTAATAAAAATTGTACAGAAATGGCGACATTCAATGATAGCTGGGCGTCAACCCTAAATGTTTCACAATTGGCTGGTTCTTATCACTCCTGCTGTAAAGCAAGATATATAATTATTTCACAGCTTGACACAAAAATTCTTGCGAAAAACTAGTACACAAAATAATAGATACTTGTTTTGCTACTTGTTTACAAAAGTTAATGAAGCTTTGGACACTATCTGAAACAGGTAGAACAGTACAGTCAACTGCTCAATTTAGTAACCAATCGGGAATTGGTTTCAGAAGAGCTTTCCTGGGTGACTGTTAAATTTTCTTCCTGTTGCTTTTAGGAAATTCCAGAAGTCTAGGTACTGTTAGAAGTTTAGCGAATAAATATTGTATGTTTAAATTCATATTGTTAGCTGACCGCATAATACCATGCTGCAGTGTCGGCTGATTACACTCAGCAATTCGTAGCAGGCGCGACAACAGCTAAGCCGAGAATTTACTTAAAAATTATAAAATTATGTAAATGAGACGTTCGTATGTTCGTTTCTGACCACTACAAGTTGCTGAACAAATTCAATAGAGCTAACCATCTAATCAGTATGCATGTACTACATAATGTCTTGGGTAACTGACAGGAGTAATTTATATTTCAGCGCGCTCGGGAACCAGGGTGAGGAGTACGTGCCTACATTATCGATTTCATATGGACGGGTACTCAAAGAACCTTAAGTAATAGGTCTAAATTCTCCACCAACCACTGCGATTTTCCGTCAAGCCTGTGGGTGGACAAAACGTGTAATTGTGTACCAAACAATATTCCAAAACACATAATTCTTCATCCATGAAAACTGATGGGAAAATTCTCGTTATCTTGTTGTTACTATCGATTAACACAATACTGGTGAGTCACGGTACAATCCGGCAAATTCTACTCACTTTTACCGCCCATACCTATCATTATTTTGATGTTTTTACAACAAAAGCCAATATTCTTATTGTCAGGCATTCTAAGTACACAATACGTAATGTAGCTCACAAGGATGCTGGCATTCCTCCTCGTTCATGGGAGGAGCCAACTGTGTCCCGAACATTACGAGCAGCAGAAAGTCAATCTGAGCGAAAAAATTTGGAGTAAATTAGTCCGCGAGTTTTATCTACCAAAGCAGAGAATTTAGAGACGCACCGAATCAGTAAAACGGGGTGGTCAGGGGGTAAAATAGTTTATAAGCGTGAATTCGCCAGCGGATTTGATTTCGGCCTGATAAAGTAGTTTTGACATCCTTGCTATGACGCCGTTTATCTTTGGAAGCTCAACTACCCCGTATATTACTATATATGATAAACGCAGAGAAAATGTTATACCGCTGGAACATACTTCTATTTTGTAATTACGAGGAAGACATTGTGAAGCTGTGCAACAAAAGGATTCGGAATTTAATTTTGACACTTGGCTTACAATGGCTATTTACTTCCTTCCAGACAGATAAGTTAGCACTTATACCTCTTTCTGCGTTAACCTTGGTGTAGTGACACCAGATAGTTGAGCATTGTCAAATCCTTTAAATCTGAGTGTCACTCACGGGTTATAGTATCAAGCTTCAAGGCGAAATAAGAGTTAATGTGGCCTAAACGTCTCCCACAGTATCCTGACCTTTTATTTCGAAATAAGATTGGAGTCGTTCAAACCTTAAAGTGTCAACTGATCGTGCATTTTTGATCGCGTAAAGCTGACTTTCGTTTTTGCATCAGTTTTAAGAAACATGCAAAGCAAGTTTGCTGTCAGTTAAGATGAATATGAGATCTTTGGACAGTGAGAATCATGGTGAAAGGTAATACATTTGTGCGGACTGAAGATACCGCCCTGGACCCGCCAGCGGCAAATGGATAAACCAGAGAGACTATTGTTTTTTTCGAAACTAGGACAACAAGTGGAGGTACAAAGGAACACAGCTTTGTCAGATTGCTTGTGAGTAATTCCTATTCTATTCCGAGACTACAGACTACAAGAGTATTCCACCGTATCGCTTACGGATGCTCAAATTTGCAACGAAAAGTGGGCCTAACGTGACGCCCTGGATTTGGTGAAATTGAACTCTATGTTGAGGTGCTTGGACAGGTCCGTTGTAATGTCTATCAATAAAGGTCGTTTGGCAAATAATCACCTCATTTTCTACAGCTTATTTGAGTCACCCGTGCTGCAAATAACAAGACCAGATGAATAGTGCTTCCTCATTCTTCAGATTCGGCTGCAATGGGTATCACCGTAGTTGAACGACAGAAAGAGGGAAATCTCAGTAAGTGTGTGTGTGTAACACACCTACAAACCTATGGAGACAACGAAGTCGATATCCTAGTAAGAGTTGATGCGTGCGCCAAACCAAATGTTAACGTAAACAAATGTATATAACATGCGAATGGTTGGGCTGTTGGCTGGAATTCTGAGTGTAGCGTTCTGGTTTCGAGGACGTCGTCCTTCTGCGTAATAAAACAACCGCTCCCTTAAATAAGACTATATTTAGGAAAGTCTCGGGGAAAGAAACCCCGTGAGTTTTCCTCAAAATACTCTGTCAAACAGGCCACTATTCATCTCAACACATAGGCCATAAACGCAACGATCTGCATGAAGTATCAGTAAAAATGGTTGGTTTCAAGCACCTATAATGATTTTGAATTGCACAATTAAGGAACACAAATAAAAGTGCCGATACTTTCTAAACTGAGGAAAGTGTGATTCTGAGGTAGTCGTGAAAATGTCGGTTTACGTCTATACTGAAAACGCTAACTTCAGTTTGCCTCTATTTATACTGTTCGCTGTAACCTTCAACGAAAAGCATAATGGTTTTATTACATCGGTAATCATTGTAAAAAGTTTGGTTAAAACTGTCTTTGCGGTCATTGCGTACGTACTTCTAGTCGTCGCAGAAGATTTCTGCAAAATTTTCTAGTTTAAAGAAACAATCCCTTGCAAGCTGTTGAAGATAACCTTATCATCTACAGCAACAAGAAAGAAGAATACCGTCAGTGAACACTCAGGGAAAAGGACCTAGTAGATAAGATTTAGTGCAAAAATTTACAGCTATGAAGATAAACGCCAAGATAATAGACGATAGCACTTTTGAATGGCACCGAAACGAACTCATATGATAAAAATAGCGGAGTAATAAAAATTGACCCAGTGTTTCTTGGGAATCTCCAGAAGCACAAATCCAGGTAATACAAACCAGGACGATGAAAATAACACACAGTAATCCGGATGGTTTTAGGAGGCTTTTTTCTGGGTTCCGAACCATAGCTTGTTTAGTGAGATACTTCCGCCATCTAGAGATTTAAATGAGTTTTAAAGTAATTTTACCGAGCGTTTTTAGCATATGTCCCAA